TTCTTTCAGTGAATGGCCTATTTTTTTAGTTTAACGGTTAATCGATTACTAAATCAATTATTTCAATAATTAGTCCTATTTGAAACTCTTCTTGTTTTCATTTGTATTGTTTTGATGTTCAGGTGTGGTGCAGATAAAATGTGAAAACGTATCTTGAAAATACTTGGGTAAAATTCCCAAACTCTGTAAAGAAAGCTTTGAAAGATCAGCTTTATGTTGTAATCCATCCTTATTTTCGTCCCTGCAGCCCATCCAGCCGGCCATCCTCCCGCTAAGCATCCCCCTGACACCTGACCTCTCCCCCATGTCTCCTTCCTTCCTCCCCTTCAAAACGACGGAGTTGAAGTCGGAACGCGGCGACTCGGCGGCTCCTCCCTCTCCCAGCGTTCTCATCCCAGCTCTCCCTCATTTCGTCACTGGCTCGCTGAGCGGCTTCAGCCCCATCAAAGGCGTGTGCCCTCTGGACGTCTTCAGGAGTCAAATCAGCCTCCAGAGGGGCCCCGATAGCCCCGCCCTGACCCCCCAGGACCCGGCACAGCTCCACCCGGCCATCTTCACCCTCCAGCCCAAAGGAGGGAGCCCGGACACGCCCCACCCCAGCTCGGAGCAGCTGCAGCCTCAGCTGCACCAGCTCCACCAGCACCACTGCTCTGGCTGCGGCTCAGACGACGGGGGTCAGCGCGGAGCGTCCAGGAGCCGGCCACCGCTGCCTCCACTCCGCGTCCTGCCTCTCAACCTGGACTGCAGTGTTCAGGTGAGGAAGGTGATGCGGGCTCACCTGGACTCATCTCAGCTGCAGACCTTCACCCGCCGGCTGTCGGAGGCGCTGTCGCAGGACCTGAGCGCCAAGCCGCCCTGTTCCCCCATTACCCCACCGCCAGAGCAGGCGCTGCCCCTCAACCTCAGCAAACGATTACCACCCAAACGGCCCAGCGCCGAAGGCCACGAGCAGAGTCCGCAGGCAGTCAACAGAAACTTGGATCCATCGTACTCCAAGAGACCACGCAGTGGCCCCCAGGAGCAAGCGCAGGATTTCAGCCTCAGGGGCCGCTCCAGCTCCTTGGCAGTGTCCGGCATTCAGAGCGTGGAGGGGAGGGGCCAGGAGGAGCCAGCAGACCTGAGCTCCCCAAGCCGCATCCGGGCCTTCCTACTCGGACTTCCACCCTTCCAGGTGAAACTGGAGGAAGACATGAACGGGACGAGGTTTGTGAAAATTCCTCCTCCAACCGAAACCAAAAGGACTGAAGTCGGAGATGGAGATGCAAAGATGGAGGCAAAGAAGCAGGAGGAGCCGATGGGGAAGGAGCAACTGGAGCGAGATCCGACCCGGTGTTCCGGTCCCTTGTCGGAAGCCAGCCCTTCCGACACGGACACACACTGTTTTTAGTGCTTTTTTTCCATAAATCAGGATCACTTCGGAGACTTGTCTGCGCCGGGTGTTTGCTTCTTTAATGACGTTTATTTCGCTACATTTCCGTTTTCTCTGGAGGAACGTCATCAAACAGAATCATGACAATCTCAGCTGAGTTTCCGTTGAAACAAAAACGGGAGATGATTTTCTTTTTTTTCCTGAACACTGCCATAACCCTTGGAAATACTATACACTTCTCTCCTCTACGTTCTGATGAAACTAAAACGGATCCACAACAGTTAGAACAAGATATCATGTTTGGGTGATCATGACTCCTCCCACAGCATCCCTGGTGTCATCCGCTAGTCCCGTTTTTAAATTGTTCTCCTCGTCCGTAGGGAGAGACTTATTTTCTGATAGTGTTTAAATGTAATCTAGGGCTCAAAATGAAAAGTTGTCTTCACAATGTATCCAGTGAAAGTGAAGCGTTTTAGTCCTGCTCGTTAGTTGATGTAAACGTACACAAATGTGCCTTAAAAGGCCGGCGACCCGCGCCATTCCCGGCTTCACCTGCATCCACGGAGATACCTTGATGTTTCAACAGCACACCCATCGACCAGGTTCGCCATCGTGTCGGCTTGCTCTCACCTTCGTCCCTGTTCAGGTTCTTAGATCCCAGATGCAGCTCCAACAGTCTAAACTACCTCAGGTTCTTCATTTCTCTCTCCTCCCCCCCCTTTTTTTTAACCGTATTTGAGGATTATAAAACTATCTCAACGTGTTTGAGATGAAAGCATGCTCAGAATGGTCCACATCTGTAGCTTCCTTCTTCTTCAGCAGTTAAGAGGCTCCTGCCAACAGTAAGTTTGAAATCAAAACAAATCTTGTATCTGCAGCTTCAGAGTGAGCAACTCCTGCCTCCATATTGGGATTCATGCACTGTATAGGTGCGTCTCGATAACTTAGAAAATCACCAAGGAGTCTGTTTTGATTCATAAATTCAGCTCAGAAAGTTGAACTCATGGTTGTGGAGTAGCAGATTTTCCTAGTACTAAACTTTCTTTTTAGATTCTTTGCTATAGCACTCTCTGGACAGACAAGTTCTGTAGCAATAACCTTTTCTTGCCTCCATAATGTTTATGTACTAAAATATATTTTTATTGGTTTTCATTACCTGTAAGCTATAATTACCAAAAGCAGAAATAAATGCTTAAAATAAATCTCTTTTTGTAATGAATCCATGAAATTTCTGCAGTTTCACTTTATGGACTGAATTGTTAACTTGAATTCTCACTATAAATTTCTTTAGATGCACCTGTGATTCCAGGAAATTCATGTCGGTTAAAGCCTTTTGTTAGAAATGAGAAACTAAAATTTAATCTTGCATCAAAAAAATATGTTGCTTTTCTTGCTCTTAAACATCAAGGTATCTCTTTAACTTACTTTCCTGTTTGCTTTGACACCACATATGCTGGTTCAGATTTGCACACCTACTGTACTCCTTTTGCTTTTTTTCATATTTAAGCCAGTTATAATTTACTGTCTCTCATTTCTTAGCGTTTGTATTTGACTCAAACTAATAGGTGCTGTTTTTTCCTAGTTATGTAGCTCATGACCACATTGGTTTTTGACTTGTTTCAAGGCTCAGAATGTTGTCAAGCTGCAAGTCAGAAAGTTTTTAATAGGTGGAAAAATTCACATTGATTTGTCCACAGAGAAAATATTTTAAAGAAATATTTTAAAAGATGAAAAAATTAGCTTATTAGTAATTATTTTTTATCAGATTTGTTTGACTGTTGGTTCCATGTTCAGCACAAATAGTTGTGAATGACTGCATGAAAAAACAATGTGTACTCAGTATATGGGCAGATGCACCAAAGTGCTCCACAAGACTCCTATATAATTCTGTTATTGATAGTATTTTTACAATTTTACTTCCTTCATTTGTTTTTCTTCTTTATTTTAAAATAATTATTGGGCAAAAAAAATAACTACAAATGTCAAATATTCTTTATCACAGTAATGTTTTTCACAACATTACTGCTTCAGACAGTAGTCTGACAGTAGTCTGAAGCAGAGCCAGACTACTGTCTGGCTCTGCTTCATCACATCAGTAAACCTATATTTATTGGTCCCAGAGAGCTTTAAAGGAGCGCGTTTGTAGAACAAATAATGTGGACAGTGGTGCTCACTGAAGAGCTTATCACATTTTAAAATGAAAGAAGGATAAAAATAATTTTGGTCCTCCACAAAGCTGCTGTTCAGAAGCTGCTAACAACCGGCACTGACATGAAATGATGCTCTTTGGTGTTAGCGTTAGGAACATTTTAAGCTGGTTACCATATTTTTTGTATTCCATGAAAGTTTTGACATATAAACTGTCATTGGAAGAAATATTGCTACCCTACATCATTTAGTTTAGTATGATGGTTAGGTGAACATGCTAATATCTTAACGCATCAGATAAATGACTTGTCAGATTTTAAAAATAGCTGTTTGGGTCAATCATGTTTTTTAGACCGTCTTAATTTTTGTATGTTATATACATATTCCCATTAAGTAATAAAGGTTTTGTTAATTACTGATACAACAGGCATAATTTTGCCTGCTAGCCTTGTTGACAGCTTGAGTCATTTTAGCGTTTGATAGAGATTTACCCGACATTATTAGGTTATGATTAATTCATGGGCGCCAAACCTTCTTGGCTTTGCTGGACTGTTTGTTGTTCTAAACAGTTTTATCACACTGCAGCATGTTTCAAACTCGTGTCTCGTGGGCTAAGTCCAGCCTACTGTAGCTGTTTTGGTGGCCCACTAGACTCCAGAAATAGAACTTCAAGAAAGCAGTTGTGTGATTATTTCATAAGTTTGTTTGTATACTGTCAAACATCAATGTAAAAGAAAATATATATATATATATATATATATATATATATATATATATATATATATATATAAAGAAGTACTCAGCGAATGCAGAGAAAGCTATATTATTTTAAAAGTTGAATAGAGTTTTATCAAATCAGCCCTTTGATAAAATGTATGACCTTGATGAGTTTCAAACATCTGTACTGCAGGTAATAACGGACAGTGGAACATTTCTTAGCTTAACATGCTAGCTTGCCATGCTTTGATTTACCTTTAACCCAAAATCTGCTATGTGGGGATTCTAGTTCACTTTGTTTGTATAAATAAAAATTTTTGACTACTCATCTGTAAAACACTTCAAAGTTGCTGCTACTAGAATGGTGATGATTTTAACTTAGCATGCTGACATATAGAGCTTTATTGCAGTTACTTTTCCAAAGATTCTATATTTAACAGTATTTTTTGACAGTAGTTCCTAGCAATCAATTGTCTTTTTTGACTTAAGTCAGTTTAGACCAAATTGTTCGTACGCCAAGATGCTAACGGTGAACTTTTTTTTTTTGAGTTGCAATTGCTTTAATTACACAAAACTTTTAAAAACTCTCTGCTTTGTTCAGGCAACACTGTTTTAAGATCTCCTGTTTATCATCAGTGTGACGGTAGAGAGTTGATTTTACAGTTCATTTTGTGTAGAGCACCTTTAATGTGCATTTGCCAAACAAATGCATAACCTCAAACTGATCCTTGTTCTAATAACCTCAGCTTTTAAAATTGAGTTTCCAAACCTGTTCCTTTAAAGTTGGTCTGGGTCTGATCACTCTTCTGGTTCCTCCCAGGTGAAACGCAGCTCCACTGGACTAGTTTAGACCCACCTGAACATTGGCTTCAGTTCTTTTGCTCCTTTTTTGTTGATGTATTGAATAATAATGACATGCCACTCATTATTTTATTTTATTTTATTCTCTTTTTTTTCCAGCTTCTTAAACTAGTATAACTTTGTTTCTTTGTTTGGATATTTAAGCTTAGTCTAGCTAGTTTTTTTTTTCTTTGATAGGTTTCACAATGTTTACAGTTTCTTATGCATGTTATACAAATTTCTTACAGTGTTTTGCACACTACTCCAGAATCAGTCTTGAACGGCACTGCTCATTCATGTAAAGTACTTATAAGTGCCTGATACATACATTTGGAGTTTGTTTGTAAGCAAATGAAAGTTAAATGAGCTCATTAGCCTTCATGCCATCGACTTGTACAAGGGGTCCCTGTGTAGGTGAGTTTTGTTGAACTTTATGGCCTTTGCGGGTTTTTGTAAATTCTCGTGTTGAGGATTTGATGAGAAGACCCGCGACACCAGAATGACGCTCAGCTCCGTGTGTTGGATTGAACTGGACCTACAAGATTTAAGAAAAGGGACAGCAAACGGTCGGTTGGACATTCATGATGATAAAAGATCAAAATAAAGGTGCTACATGTCACATTTTTACGTCTTTGAATTGTTGAATTAATTTGACTGTTCTGCAGCTTCCTAAAATGTCCTAAACGCTTCTCAGTTTTCATATCTGAATAGTTGCCTTTTGTCCTCTTATGTAGTTTATTGATTTATTTATGAAGAAAAGTTTCTGGATAACCAAAACGACCATTGATCGCTTCATAGAAATTTGATTTTTGGGACAGTTTTGAACTTGCGGGTTTGTGAAAAATTCAGTTAATGCTTCAGATTTTGAGATGAAAATATGTGGAGCTAAAAAGTCTTACCTTTTCTCTATTAAATATACATTTTCATTATTTTTTTTCTAAAGTCATTTTAAATCGATTTCTCTTTATACTCTGATATATTAACAGAATTGATTCAGTAGTTATAAAAACCCTCATAAAGTAACATAGTTTCATGGTTGGATGTAGTTTTTTTATTTGGTTGTTTTTAATTCTGGTTATTTCTAGGGCTGTAGTGATACAGTAATCTTACGATATGATACAATACACGATATTCTGTCCACGATATGATATATATTGCGATATTCATCAAACGATACAATTCAATACAATACACTTTTGCGATTTTCTGAAAGATTTTAGAGGGACAGAGTGATTTTGGTGATATTTTGTGACTGTTATAGAGTTGGATTGAATTACTGAACTGAAAACTGATTAAAACACCAACCTGGCTCTGGTTGGACATGGACACAGACTTAAAGTCGACAGCTGGACAAAAAGAATCAAAGAAGTGGTGAGAAAACATGTTTCTTTTAATTGAAACAGTACAAACTGTAGCTAATATGGATTTATAAAGTAAATAAAGTGCACCAAGTACCCTGCTCTGAATAGTTTGATACCTTTTTAACCTTGACACTTAACATCTGAAGGAATCACTCTAAGCCTCATGACCTAATCACTCTCCCAGTGAAGCAAGCAGTGAGTGAGCAAGATGACAGTTGGATGTTACGATACTTGCGGATGAATATCGATTTTTTTCTAGGAAAGAAAATATCGACATATATCGCGATATCGATATTATCCTACAGCCCTAGTTATTTCCCCTAAAATTTGCCTCGTAATGACATAAAAGATGTCAAAAGGGTTTTGTAATCCAAATAACCTTGTTTAAGCAAAAATAAAATGCTAGTTCGAAACACATTAAGCTTTAATTTATGCAATAAGCACAAATTGTTGTGTACCAGTATATAACTGATTATTTGAGTGGAAAATTTGAACTTAGATTATTTTAATATTGATAAATGCAAAATGGTTTGTCTGAAATGAATCGAAATTCGGTCTAAAATGAAGAAGTGTGTTTGACTGAAATCGAAAATAATGTTCCCTCTCTCTTCACCATAAGCTTTCAGGACTGTCTTGAATAGCAAACATCCCAAATGTCCATTTTATACAACTGTAGCTTAAATCAACCAAATACAGATGGTGAAAAATGCTCCATGTGGCACCTTTACAAACTGGATGTTGCACACTTAGGAATGTCTTTCTGAGATCTCTTTTATAAGAATTAAAGAAGAAAATATTTTATTTCCTGCTTCTATTTACGCACAGCTAGTCTGTAAAATAAAACCGTCTTTTCCATGAATGTTTCCAGAGTGAGCTCTGCTGGACTGTTGTATCCCGAGTTTTACCCAAGACCATGGCAGTGTTCCACAAGGCGCTGGATTGGAACCAGAACATTCTTGCTTGATTAAGAATATGTTTTATTTTGGTTGTTACTGATTTACAGCACATGGTCTGTTTTTGTTTTTCTCCGTTTTAATTTTTTTTATCCTCCTTATTTTAATGGTAAACGGCTTTCAGTGTCAGGTACCATTCCATTTTAACACTGTATATTTATATTAAAAGTAACCTGTTAATAAATTCTGAGTTCAAGGTTTTATTTCTTTTCTTAGAAATTAAAAATGTCTGGTAGAGCTCCATTTTGAAAGTTAGGGGATCCGTTTTTTAGAAATTAAGAACATTTTCTAAAATTATTCAAGATTAGTCATAATTTTCATTTTCTCTGAAATATATATCTTCAGAGACATCTTCAGCTGTTTTATTTAATATTTTATATTCTTGTTTTTTCAGTGTAATGTAGAATTCTTTCTTCTGTTGGCTGTCAAGCGATTTGTTTTTCTAATTTCTGATCTAAATCACAATTTAAGAAACGGCTATATTCAGTAAATTAGAATATTATTGGAAAAAAAATAGTTTATTTGAGTAACTTGCTTCCCAAAGTGAAACGTTATATAGATTAATTCCTCACAGATGGTTTTCTAAACCTTAATTATGATGATTTTTGTAGTTGGTTAGTGAAGATGAGACATTTAACATCAGAATTTTACATCTGACCAATAAACTATTATTGGTCAGGAGTTTAACATCTGATTTATCCGATTTCAATGTTGTTTTCAAAAGATGCTGTTAATTTGACAAACAAGACTCATTAGATTAAAACAAACATATGCATCAAATTTGTGGTCCTTAAAATTTAAAACTTCTTTAATAATATACATTTTTAGTGTTTTTTTACTTTTTGTAATACCTTGTTTCAAAGTTCTGGTACTGTTCTAGTGTTTCTACATCCTGAAAAGCCCAGAAAGTTTCTCTAAAGTGTGATTCCCTGAAATACTCACTAGATGGAAACAAATCTATGATGAAACATCTGGTTTGTTTCATTCGGTTTGTTTTGTGGAGTGTTTGAGATTTTATTATTCTAAAATAATATTAATCATTTCCTCCACCAATAAACATTTTAAGAGATACAACTCCAGTCTCCAATCTTATTTTATTTATTGTTCTTTTGATTAACTTCGAGCCTTTTAAGTTTTGTCTTTAGTGGAATGCTGACATTTGATGAAATCATAGAAGTTATAGATATTTTCTGAGATGTGAGCTCAGGAGGAACTTCACACATTCCTTCCCTGCAGGACTCATAAAGGCAGCGCTGGAAAAACATTCAGAGAGCAAACTTTCACATTGTGGAGAAAATAATGAACACATTCCTCACTCTGCAGTAGGAGCTTTGTTAGCAGCGCCATGTTAAAGGTTGAGTTTAGGTTGCACACATTTTTCTTTTTTTGTCATGGGAGAGTTGGGACTTTAAAGCTGCAGGTTTCAAACCTCACAACATGGAATCTGATTCCTGAAGGTGGGATCATAATGTTTTAACCAAATTTCATGATATTAATTTTATCTTAAAGGGAATCTATTATGCAACATTGAGATTTTATATGTTTTTGTACTTCCATGTGGGTTTCGACTGCATCTGAAAAAAAAAAAAAAAACACCCACCCATTTTATCGGTAAGTTATTAGTTTTTGGTGTCTAGAAAATTAGCCGTTTCAATAATCTTCTGAATATAACGTCACAAATCAGCAGACACTGCCTTCCATAGCAACCCTAGGGATGCCTGCCTTGATTGGTCAGCTGGTTTTACTGCTGTGTGTTTTGTTGTTGACCATCCAGAAACCACTTCCTCCTTCATTCATTTGATTGAGATGTGTTGGAGCAGAATCTCCATAAAGTTTGTTAGCAGAAGAAAGCTTGGAGGCTCTAATG